CAGTCACTCCACAAGAAGAAGCTGGAGGCGTCTGACCGTGTATACGTTACTGCCTGTCAGAATCGATCCCCGCTCCGAGCGCTGCCATCCATACACGTTGTTCTTGTGCTTTTCGCTCATCGCTTCGCATCTCGTCTTCCGCATTGGACTCCTATGAAACAGTACCGTACGTACCGTACGGTACTCAGTAGGCGCTCAATAATGAATAATGAATTCTTTTGTGCCAGTTCTACGCTGCCCTCTATCTCGTCTCGCTCGGGCGCGCAATGCGTAAATACTTCGTACTACTACGAGATACTGTAGCGTGGATGCGAAAAGACGAACAGGGGACGTACGCTATGAGTACGGTGCGGTACGTACGGTACGGGTACAAATTACGCRAACGGGTCTACACGGAAAGCTACGAATACTCGGTTTATCTAAGGGCTTATCGCTACGGGTACGACKTCTCGTACCTACGCTACGGGTAGTACAGGTACCCGTAGATCAACGTTCTGAACGGTAGGAGTACGTAMGGTACCGTACCTACTCTACATGAACCACTGTGTGAGGTGTGAGTGTGAGTCCCATTTTCGTTTTTGACGGCAGAGGGAGCGAGGCCAGGCGGTGCGAGCCATGGCAGTACCGTACCRTACTGTACAACTCGTAGTACTACTGTACTGCCCGTTGTTTCCGGTCTACTTGTACCGTACGGCACACCATGCCACGGCACGGGAGGATTGTGGAGCCTCCATTTCTCGTACGAGTACCAAGCTAGACTCCACCCGTCCCTTGCCATCGAGGTTCTATACGGTGCAAACCCCAGCACAAGACCCACCAAAAGGAGTAACCCCACTTGCGAAGAGCAAGAGACCCACCAAACAGACAGCCATGGCGTCCGGAGGAGGCCCCGGMAGGGGAGGCCACTCGTGGCAACCCGCAGCACCCACATCGATGCAGATGTCGTCGGGTGGGCAGCCCACACCGCAGCAGCAGCAGCAACAACAGCAGGGAGGATCCCAGCAGCAACARCAGCAGCAGGGCATGGCCCCGTACCACCACGGTGGACGCGGGGGACGKGGAGGAGGAGGCCCGGGCGGACGTGGCGGCGTCGGCGTGCCCGTAACCCCCGGGGTTCCCCCCCCACCGAACGCCTACGTCGTCGGGATGCCCCACCACCCGTACTACAACCCGTACGCCCAGCACATGCCCGGCCCGCAGTTTGCCCCGCAGGTCGCAGGCGGCCGGGGAGGGGCCCACGGCTGGAGCCAGTCCTACCCGCACGCCGTGGGGCACACACCGGGCCAGGTGGTCCCCGGGAACCCCTACGCCCAGGGTCCCCCCCAGCAGTACGACAAGTACTACCARCAGGGCCCCCCGGGCGGCCGGGGACAGGGACCTGGGCRCGGACCCCCCCGCGGAGGAARGGGCGGGAGAGGCGGTGGCGGTGGCCGCGGCGGGGCCCACCACTCGTCCTACGCTCCCCCCGCGCCCCGCGTGAAGAAGGCCCTCGTCATCACGGTGCGTTTCTTTGCGTTGCATTGCGTTGCGTTGCGTTGCATTGCATTGCATTGCGTCGGTGGTTTGCGCCCGTGTGTGGTGTTGTTGGTCTCGTTGTTGAACCGCCAGCGAGCTCTTCTCTTCTAACCCGATGCCTGTCTCCCATTGCCACGCAATGTCACGCAACGCTTGTTTTCTGTTCCGTTCCGTTCCGTTCGTGCTTTCTTTTGCTTCTTGTTCTCGTTTTCGTTTTCGTTTTCGTTTTCGTTTTCGTTCCCTCCACCGCAGGACAAGGACGGGAACCCCATCGACATGACCTCCCCGAAAACCAAAAAATCCGGCTCGGCAGGCGCATCCTCGAAGAGCTCCTCCGACGCCGGAGCCAAGCTGAGGCAGGCGGCCCTGGATGCCATCCAGGGAAAGACCGACAAGGAGGCCKCCAAGAAGAAGAAAGAGGAAGAGGAAGAAGCGGCCAAGAAGAAGGCCGAGGAAGAAGAAGCTGCGGCCAAGAARAAGGCCGAGGAAGAGGAAGCGGCGGCCAAGAAAAAGGCCGAGGAAGAAGAAGCCGCCAAGAARGAGGAGGAAGAAAAGGCCGCGGCCGCATCAAAGGAAGCAGAAGCAAAAAAGAAATCCGCTGCRGCGTCCAGGCCGAGGTCCTCGCTCGCCTCGCTCTTGTCCAAGCAGAAAGAAAAGGCCACGGAAGAAGAATCCACCACGGCCGCGCCATCGGCCTCGTCTGCCTCGGCGTCTAGCGCGKCGACACCGGCCTCGTCCAACGGCAAGAGGCGCCGCCACGTCTACTCTAAGGAGGAGATGCTGMGGTTGCGGGCACTACCTGTCTGCCAGGTACGCCCGGCCGACCTCCCGGAGTTTGTCATCACCAAGGGCCCCCAGAAGGCCCAGGGTGGCGGAGCTGGGGGCGGCGACGGACACCACCGAGACAGCCGCCGGCAGCAAAACCGTGGCGGGAGCTGGGAGCGCGGAGCGGCTCCYCCGCCCCGCAGGAACAACAACAGYGGCGGGAGCAACAGCGAGAGCAGCGGGGGCCAGTGGGCCCGCGGAAAGGCGCCTCCGCCCCAGCAGAACCGTGGGGGCCGGGGCGGTCGTGGCGGCAGAGGTGGCCGCGGACAGGGCCCTCCCTATTTCGACGGCCCCGTTGTGCCCCTGGTCAAGTCGGAGAACGGCTGGCGCCCGCAGAAGAACACGGGTCCCCTGGTCATTGCCACAAAGAAGGTCAAGTCGATCCTGAACAAGATGACGAAGGAAAAGTTCGATCGCTTGTCCCAACAGATCATCGATATCCCCGTAAAATCATACGCCACGCTGGCCATGATGATCTCGAAYGTGTACGAGAAGGCCATCGACGAACCCTACCTCGGAGACATGTACGGAGACTTGTGCGTTCGGCTCTCCCAGCACGTCCAGAGTAATTCCTTCATCCACATCATCGAGTCGGACGAAGAACCACCCACGGAGGACGGAGAGCCTGCTCCTCCCTCTACCGATGGAGACGCTGCTTCGAAGTTCAGTGTCTTCCGCTGGAGTAATGACATCTCCACGGAAGATTCCGACATTGTCGGGCCCTTTGACTCGATCGAAAGCGGCACGAAGATGGCTTTGTCTTCGGACGAGCAACAAGCTCCGGTWYCCCGGGGTGACCTGGAACTGGAACTGGTCAAGCTGCAGATCAAATCGGGTGTCTTCATCAAGACCATGAAGGTCAAGAAGACGACCRCCGAGGGCGAAGAAAAGGAAGAAGGACAGGTCACCGAAGAAGACAAGTTTTACACCGTCTTCTTCCCTGTGAAAGACCACGAGCAATGCGGCCAGCAGCTGTCGAAAATCTTTTTGAGCGAGCGAGAAGGCATTTCCGATGCGAACAAGCAAAACTCATTCAAGCGCTCTCTGCTGAACAAGTGCGAGGACGAATTCAACAAGCAAGACATCTACGAGGACTGGAAGAAGGAAGAAGCCGAATACAAGGCGAACAAGGGCTCCCTCTCCGCCAAGGAACAAGCCGAGAAGGAGGAAGACCTGGCGTTCCGCCGTATGAAGATCAAGAAACAGATGCTTGGCAACATCAAGTTCATTGGCCAGCTCTACAAGAAGAACCTCATCAAGGAAAAGATCATGAGGTTTTGCATTGCTTCCTTGTTGAACCTGGAAACCAAGGACGTCAAGTCCAAACTCCCCGTTTACTTCGATACCGGAAACGACGACATGGACGAAGAAGACCACGAGGCGATCTCCAACATGTTCACGACCATTGGAAAAACCATCGACAAACCCGTCACCGAGCCCTTCATGAAGGTCTGCTTTGGAAAGATCAAGAAGCTCAGCGACAAGAAGGAACTCCYCGCTCGATCACGATTCATGTACAAAGATTTGTTGGACCTCCGCAGTAGCAACTGGGTCCCCAGGCGCAAGGAAGAAAAGGCCAAGACCATTGCGGAAATTCGCAAGGACGTGGAACGCGAGGAACGACAGCAAGCCCAGGAAAGTGCGGCGGCCAACCAAGGAAACTACCGCGGGAACAACTACGGTGGCCGCGGAGGCGGCAGAGGCGGGGATTACAGAAACAACCGCTCGAACTACGGAAACAGCAACCGGCAACGCTCGCAAAGACCCGCCGTCGAAACCGACGCCGATGGCTTTACCACCGTCAAGGGCGGCGGCTCGTCTCTGGGCCAGGGACCTTCGAGCCAAAAGCCCCAGCGAATCCTCCAGTCCAAGCCCAAGCAGGCTGCTGCTGCCAAACCCAGCTATCCGGCTTTGGACGAAGAGAAATTCAAGCGTCGTGTTAAGACGATTCGCAACGAGTACATCCAGGATCCGAAGAATGTCAAGGAGCTGCTGCTTTCCGTCGACGAACTGACCGGAACCAAAGACTACGGCTCGCAATTTGTGTCGCAAAACGCCGATGCCATGATGGATTGCAAAGAAAACGAACGTGCGGCCATGTACCTCTTGCTCGAAATCTTGGTAAAGGAAAAGAAGATTTCGAGCAACGACGTCAAAACCGGTTTGGTAGATATAATCGAGTTCATCGATTCGTTTGTTTGCGATGCACCCTTTGCCTTTGACTATCTCGGACGCATGCTCGCAACCATGATTCGTTGCGAAGCCATCGATGTCACCTGGATCGGACAAGAAGCCGAGAAGACCAAGATCACGGACGACTCGAATCCCGAAAAGATTATTCGAGCGCTCATGAAAGCTATCGATGCCGACAAGGGAATTGAAGCCATCAAGGGTGCATTCGGTCCCCACCAAAACGCCATGGAAAAATTGTTGGGAAAAGACAAATGGGTAGCCCTGAAAAAAGAACTCGCCTAAAATAAAAACCGAACCGACGAACCATACATAAGAACCTGAACAAGAACGACAACATCAYTACACTGCACTAYTTAAAGTTTGCAAGCTGCAATTATTGTTTATTGATCGTAGTCTATAGAGTTTGTGTGCGGAGGGAATCCAGAAACAAATAAAATACAAATGCGTTCGTCGTCATTTATCCAACGTTTGCGTATCATGTGTACACACATGTGTACACACTCCTTCGAAAAACTGGGGAGACGACGCAAACTTGTTTTCCACCCTATACATCACTCCAATTGCTTTTCCATGTAGTGCAGCCTTCCGTAAGAACAATACGAACGCGATCCGGAAGGACAGACACAAGGACTCATGAWGARGCAGATGAAGGGAAGCTTACTCAAATRGTAGAGGATTGATCTGGGCTTAACGACGTAGCCTTTTCGTTCGTACAACCCAATGGCTGGATTTCCGTGGAGGACTTCGAGGGCCATGAATGTGCAACCTCGCTGCTTCGCCAGGTCTTCTGCCCAATTCATCAAGGCCGTTCCGACGCCCATGCCGCGTCCCTCAGGGACCACGGCGATCATATCGATGTAGGCTTCGTCCTCTTTTGCTGTGTGGATGTCGGAGTGCATCCCGTGAAAGACCAACTGGACAAAGCCAACGGCGCCCGCCTCCGGCGTGCTCGCCACGGCGGCAACCTTCATCAGCTCGGGATGCTTGCGATAGGTTGCGCGGACCTCGTGCTCGGATCCGKCCCCGAGCGGGAAGACGCAGCAGCAATGCTTGGAGTTCAAAAAGTCTCGGCGAATGCGAATGACATCTCCGAGATGCTTTTCTTCTACCACCTCTACTCGGACCGAGGAGCTCATTGTTGCCGGTCGCAAGATGGGTCAAATGAGCTACAAGCTGTTACGAAGCATAGTACAGTAATGGAATACGATCTCTTCCCCTTCGAGTAGGCCGTCTTGAGACCATGTGCGACCCTTACATCATCAGGCCGTTAACAGTTTTTGTAGAACAGCCATCCAACGGAACAAGACTGAACTGTCAAGAAGAAAATATCTTTGCGAAGATGATATGGTACGTATGGTACGTACTTGACCGTACAAGTAAAATAACAATTACTACTACTAGTAACAATTGAACTTTCTCCAAATACGGGATTGGGCCAGAATGACTAAGCAGACACCAGGGACGTTATGCTTTAACATACGGTACTGGTTTTGGCGGGTGCCCACCTCCTACGCGGAGGTACCGCTCCCTCATTTTTTCAGGTACCATACTGTTCTTCTTTTTCTTCCTKAACCACCAATGAGTAGTTTATTTCCTACTAGTAGTAGAGTACAGTACTATGAGTTTCTTAACAATTGCACACCATCTTGCCCAGCATGCAAATAGTTTTTAGTGAAGACATAAAGCGTTAAAACAAAGTTATCAACTTCAATAAAGTTAAGAAGAACTTCGATTCAAAGCTTAGTAGTAGGATGAGTACTACTACTACTAGTAGCCCCACACCACATGATCACCGTGCACACCGGCACCAGGTCAGCAGCTGTTCAGCAGCGGGGTAAACAAGAAGCAAGATTAGCTGTTTTGGATGATCTGTAGTACAAAACTATGTAGAAATTGCAGTAGAAAATAGTCAATCAAGGTATGACTGCAGATTTTGGTCAAAATGGAAGGGTTTTGATTGCGCATTCAAAATCCTACTGTGTCCTACTGTCTTGACCTAAACCTGCCTCCAGCATGCTGCTAATCTGTTCTTTTTTTCTTTCAAAAAGGGTTGGTTCAAAGCAACCAACCATGGGAATAGCTCTATTGCACTCTATTTGAGGGACTTCTGCTCAATTTTTTTACTGTGTGTGGTATCAATTGATAGATCTCTTCAATTATCCATTTAGCATGCCTTGAACTGTAGAAAAGGAGACAGTAGAAATATTGTTTTGGTCTGATTAGTCTGCTTCTTTTTTGTCATTGGCCATCAGCAGTATGAGCAACAAGCATGAGACCCTCAGGGGCCTCTGTGCCCAGCCTGCCACTCACTCAAACCAGTCCACTCTATCAAGCAGCCGATGCTGCTCAGGAGAGGAAGAAGTTCGTCCTTCTGCTAGCAAAGAAGATACAGAATCTTTGCACCATCCAAACCATCAAGGAAAGGGATGTTGAAGCACTCTTCCCTGGCAATGCAGCCAAGGGACTGAGACAAGAGATGCGCCTGCTCCATGCTGATGTTGTCTTTGCCAGGCTAGGCAAAAGCAAGGAGCAAGAGAAGGCCTGGAGATCTCACTACACTTCTTCCATCCTTGCTTCTCTGTATGTTGCAATGGAGATGAGGAAGGGGATGGATTTGCCWACCCAGCCATCCAGCATGCTAGTAGATCAAGGAGTAGCAGCAATGACAATACTACAGCTCTTCTCCTCTTCCAGTCGATTGCCAAAGCTGYCAATCAAGCTGTGGAAAACCAGGAGGATGAGGCCATTGAAAAGCTGAACAAGAGATCTTCCATCAAGCAACAAAAGTATGGGGACAGGAAGCAAGACAATATCCCCTTTGACCTATCCAAGCTGAAGAAGGCTCCTTACCCTCAGTGTGGATGTATGGCTTGCATGGCTACTATCACACCAACCAATGAAGTGAATCAAAAGAACCAAGAGAACTGGGAAAAGTACATAGATGAGGTGGAGGAATACCAGCAGAATGGGGGGAAGAAGCCAAGATATCCACCATCAGAAGGACAGTGGATTGGTTGCTGGTGGACTTACCAAAGAAACAAAAAGAAACTTGTTTTTAGTGTAGAATCCATGTGTACTCCAGTATACCATTTTTTGCAAATAATTAGTACCTTGACCAAAAACAGATTATTAGTTTTTGCACCATACAAAATCAGTAGTAGTATTTCTTGCGTTAGCAAGCCAATCCTACTAGTAGTAGTACTACTACTAGTAATAGTACTACTACTACCGCTGCTGCTGCTGCTGCTGCTGCTACTACTACTACTACTACTAGCTACTACTAGTACTACTACTACTAGTACTACTACTACTACTACTACTACTACTACTACTACTACTACTACTACTACTGGATAGCATCCATTTGTCCCAAAAACTGAAAATAATTTTATTTTTGTCCACTACGTAGTACTTYAGATAGTTTGTGTGGKAATTGCTAAGTACCCTGTACCGGTACTGCGATCTCTACTATCTCTAGTAGTACATAGAGTACCAGGTATGATACGGTAGAGTAAGCAGAATGAACCACTGATTTTAACCCAAAAATCGAAGGCGATTCATTTTTTGAAGTTTTCTGGTCTAGATCTAAAAAAGCGAAAGGCAGTACTTTGGAATAGTTCCTAGAATCTCAACAAGGTCACCAACGCCAATTGCACTCACGCACGGAGGTTTTTTCAATTGCATCCATCTTGTTCAAGTTTTGAAACCTACTTTTGTTTTCTGTAGAATGTCATACGCTTTTGCGGCTTCGAGGAGCTGCAACGCGGCACGTCCGACCTTCCGAAACGCCGCTCGGGTGACTGGAGTTGGCAAACGAAGGGCTTTGGCATCGATAAATCACCATCGGTTATTCGCCTCTGGGGATGGTTTGGCTAGCCAACACGGAAAGGGCGGGATTCCGGGAAACTTTCGGAGCTCGATGAATTTCAGCAACACCAGCAGAGCGATTTCGTTTTCGAGCACCGGCGACAGCGATACGGTTTTGTCCAAGGACTTGCCAAACATACGCTTCCTCGTTGCGCCACAGATATACGAAGAAGACGATGGGGGGTGACAAAGTACAARTCATACCTACGCCTTATTGTAAATTTCAAATCAATAGAATGATCCAACTTGTAACAAGATACTTCTAATTGATTGCAAGTTATTATCCTCAGAAAAAAATGATTGTACTGATACTCTTATCTATTCTATTTTACGTATCATACTTGATTTCTGAAGTGAAACTGTGCAATGAAACTTGCGCTGTTGAAGAAGAAAACACATCAATAAAGAGAAAAATTAGTACTCGGTACAGTTTCGAATTTTGATCCAATGCAAACCGATTTGGTGTGGCTTTAGATCATGTCTGCACATATCACAGCTCCTCAGYGGGAAGTCAGCAGTTATATATCAACATTTATGCGTTCATGTAAATGAATTGTAGATAAAAAAAACTGGTGTCATCATTGAAGCAAGCCTCCGTCTTTTTGTCACTTGCCAACAATCCAAAACGTGACATACCTCTTCGCATACATCGGCTGGGCTGGATGGGCTCTGATCCTGGAAACTAAATCAYTTGTTCCCGATTATCCTGCGGGTACTTCTCTGGTTTATTTAATATCTGGCCAAGTTCGTAAGGATCTCGTTCTTTCGTCATCTGTGCTCACAGGCGCATTGTGTTTGTATATATGTGTACACAACATGGTTAGAAAATCAACTAAATATGTATTGTGACGAGGATCTGTTAGGGAAGAGGAGGGTGATCGTCTCAAACGCAAAGCGAACAAACCACCGACTATTCCATAAGGTAGCGTAAGCACAAAACTCACGTTCCGTCTAAATCATCGTTGTCGTATTCCAACAGAGACGACATCGTTGCTGTTACCGCGGAGGGCTGGGCGAGGGCTAACCGCGTCAGGTTTTGTCCAAGAGACAGAGACGGCGCAAAGGAAGCCATAGACCCGTAGTGTCTAGATCTTGTACAACCAGAGCCGTACGCCGTGCTCTTGGTGCCCCCAACAGGCGCATCAAAATTTCTTGTTCCCGGACGATTACTGCGGCATTTCCTATTCACTCTTGACGTCCTTGAACCTCCAAGATTGCATCGTCTCGAGAATGTTCGAACAGCTCTCATAATGTGAGAAGATTGATATTGGTGTTGGCTTAGGTACCGAGAGATTATTCGACAGAGGTAGTGTTTGAACCGTTTTTTTCCTGCGATCAGAAGATGATGTTAATGTAATTGGATGGCAATCGATCTCTTCAACCTGACAATCGATTATTTTGGTGTCAAACGAACGCAGGGAGGGCGTTCCAACTGCATATCTTGGAAGTACTACCGTGCGCACTGTACGACAGCTGCACGATACCGTATCGTGCGTATTGTGCGAGGAGTCGAACTGTAACTAGAAGCACTCGTTCTGTAGACTGCCCAGTGACAGAACGCGAACTCAGTGAAGAATTTCTGTCGGAAAGTAGGTGGAGTGGAAGAAATGTCTTCCACGTGGAAGTTCATTATAGCAAGGGGACTTTTTAACCTTACCTTAGAAACAGACTTTGAATCAAACGAGTCGAAACAGATTTTCAGAACTTCCCGAAAGCCGGAAGCAATTTCTACCGTACTTGCCACGACGGTTAAAAGTCTCCTGCAGCTTCTACTATTCAAATGTAAGTTATAATCGTTAGCTAATACGTAGTATGCTCTATCCAATCTTGCTATTAAATCAATAATGGCAATAATGATGACGCAATTTCCACTTGCTACGACGGTTGAAGGTCTTACACAGCTTTGACTATTCAAATGTAGCTTATGATCGTTAGCTAATATGCTCCATCCAATCCTGCCATTGAAGCAATAATGATCTTGTATCCGTCGTCCAAAGGCACGTCTCGATCAGTTACTGATTGGCAGATTTTTGGAAAGTCTGCGGTAATATCCAAATATTGGGTCATGTAAACAAGAAGATTGAAGTCACTCAGTAGATCAACGAAAGTCCATCCAGAGGTACCACTCTTCGATAATTGTCGTTTCATTTCGTCTTTTGAAGGAGCTCGATCGTCCAAGTCACGGTTTATTCTTGGAAATTGAGAAACAAAAACGTCAGAAGTATGCTGAACAATTGGTACCACTGTCAAAAAGAAATTGTTGTCGATCGTTTTCGATTCTTTCCCCTCCTGAATGGCTGTAAATGTTTCATTGACCTCGCAAACTCCGTGATTGGTACCAATTTCGAGTGCCTCTTCTGCTACCATCGCCATRCATTGTTGCGACACTTGAAATGCTTCGACTCCAACGTTCCCATCTTTGCCTTTTCCAACCTTGATGGTGACGAAAGGCGTTTCTTCGACTCCCTCTGCAGCCTCGAGTTGAAGCTCGGCTGCCATAATTACTTCCGCAGTGGTCAAGACGATACCATCTTCTCGAGGTGGATGTCCAAATATCCATCCTACCTTTTTTAAGCCCAATAGCTTCGCGATTTCTTCGACCTAATCAACAGAAATTGTATCAAAAGTATTAGTAAAGGTAAAAAATCAACGGGTATCGACTGATGAATTTGAAGCACCATCAGTTTTTGCAATTGGTATATTAGCGGATTTGGAGTCTCTGTGTCCAAAAATGGTTCTTACCTTGTCTTCTAATGGATCTTCGAGCTGCTCGAACCCTTCGGCGGCATCTAGATCAGGTTCTTGGGGAGGTTCATAAATAGCTTCAACAATAGTCTTTTTTGTTCCTGAATCGTCTGATTCCTCGTATTTCCCATATAAAAAGGCAAATCTTTTTCGAGCGAATTGGAATCGCTGTAGATATGATTGAAAGTTTTGGATACTGGGAGAATCCAGAGACACCTGTGAACAAATAGCTTGCTCCTGACGTTTCATCTTGAACACAAACTGAGAGTCCATCGCAACGAACTCGTTCAAGGTCCAAGCCATCTTAATGTCACGCAGTGGCATCATTCCACGTCTGAATCCCTTATCGTCGCTAGAACTTCGAACCTCATTCGAAGGGACTAGTTTGATTTGTCCATCTTTGTCGATGATGCGCTTCATATTTCTGCTGTCTTGCGCAACACCAGAAGCGGATTCGTTTTCTCCTACGACGGGGACAGAGGCATCGCCTGTAGCGCAGCTGGAAGAATCTACACGACAATGAATCATTGCACCATGCTTCAAATTTTGAGACTTCAGGGTTGCACCTGTATCTATTGCCTGTTTACAGGCCGGATCACTTGAAAGTGGCTTTTCGTACACAACGTGAGGTCGTGTCTTTGCAATTTCGGCCAAGACATCCTCGCCAGTGGATTTTTCTGGATCCAAGCCTTCCACTCGCCATACTCCAACGTTTGAACGGACACGAATGATCATTGTTTTGTCGTCTTTGCAGGATAGAAGATATCTTTTCAATTCTCCTTCTTGTGGCCAGGATTGTACGGTACGATTCCAATTCAAGATGCGAAACAACAGTGAAGACATCGTGAGCTGAATTCATTTAAAAGAGAGAAAAATCTCGACAGTTTCTTCGTCTTTCTCTACGATTCGAAGTTTATTTGATCGGATGAGTCGAAAAATATGTTAGCATTTAGATTTTGAAAAACTCTAACCTTATGAAAATTTTATGTACTAAAGTATGTACGTACAGTAAGTACTAATACAAGTACGTAATCAAGCAATCAAGCAACAACGAAATGGCCAAAGCAACACCTGTTCAGATTCAGATTCAATCAAAGGCCATTGAAGTCCGCATGTTCGATGCTTTACACAGTATTTCTTTAGGTTTAAAAACGAATTTGGCCTTAAATTGTCCATCATTATTTGGATTGTCAGAAATAAATGAAGGGATCTATTTAATAGCGAATCTGGCAATGCGTCTGAAAACGAGTTGTAACCTATTATACCTATTGTCCACACAACACCAGTGCATGAAACTTAAGTGGTAGTTTGGCCGCAAGACAACCGTTGGAATCAAGAAGAAGCTGCAAAGAAATTCACTGCACTCTAATCGATTTCTTTCTGAACAATCTTCTTCCTCTCGCTTTTGAAGGAGTAAGTGCCAGGCTTCGAGTGCTTGATTCGATTCGCTTGCTTGCGCTCGGCACTTTCCTTTTGAATAATGGCCTGGTTCGTTTGTTTTCTGATAGTTTTGGGTATTTTTCGTGATCGATGAATCTTCTTGACTGTAGGAAGATGCTGATACTTTTTTACCAAGGCCTGTCGATATTGCATTGCACTTTCTTCTCGCGGAGTCAACTGCCCAAGTTTTTCGTTAGACCGAGCTTTCCACAACCGGACGTTTGTGTCGTCGCTACCACTAATGATATATGTGTTATCCATCGTGTAATTCACCGTAAAGACCCGTTGCATTCGTTTTGTATGATATACATCTCGTGCATATCCATTCCTCTCGCGCAAATTAAAAATGCGAATTGTTCGATCGTACGATCCTGTTACAAATTCCCTACCTGTGGGTGCCCAATTGACAGATATGACCGCGTTAGTATGTCCCTTATAAATATGTGTAGGTTGTGATAAATTTCTCATGTCAAAAGTATAACAGTTGAAATCTTCGTTTGCTACAACAAAATTGAGAGGTTCCATTGGATTCCATTGTAAGTCGTTTGACCTCATTCTCAATACGGTCTTTTTCATTGCAGATGCTGTGCGAAGATCGTGTAAACCCACCCCTCTGTCCATCGAACAATTCGCAATTATCTGTTGCTCTGATGGATGGAAGCGCACAACATTCACAGTATCGGCGGATCCCCACAAGTCATCATGTGATTGAATAGGTGCACTGCGCTCGGGCGTCCAAAGCTGTACTGCTGAGTCGGATGCTGTTACAAATTGTCGTTCTGTATTCCATTGATGATCAATTGATTGAAAGGATCCGTTTGTTCTCCAAGTATCTACGAAACCACCATTCAGATTGGATACTTCGTTACTGCTGTTTTTTGATAAGACTTCAGGGATAGAAAATCTCCTGACACTTCCATCCTGAGAACAGGAGTAGAAATCCTGATCGAGTCCAAAAGCTATTCCTTTTACCGCCTGTTTATGAGCATTTAGTTGAGAAACACATGTACGGGTTGGCATGTCCCACAATTTGATAGTGCCGTCTGCACATCCTGAAAGTAGAGGCAACAACGATTTCCGTGAAATAGCTGTATGATACACAGCATCTTGGTGACCATTGCCAAAATTTCCCACCAGCGGTTTCGCAAACTTTCCATTTGAAGAACGAGAATAAATACGAAAGTCAGGAACATCGACACGCAGAAAACTAGGACAAAATTAAAGAGAACATCTCAACTCACCATTCGTTCCATTTTCGCCGATGTCACCGCTCTCGCCATTTCGCGGGGTCGCTGCATGGGATGATACGCAGGATCTAGATTACGTGAATGTTTCCTCAAGTCTCCTACACATTCACGCTCGGTGGAGGCCCTACTCCGACTGAGTGCTTTTACTTTCATGGCAAACTTATACTTATATTGACTGGCGTATCACTGTCAATCACTGTCAAATAAAAGACGGAGAGCGTTTTGCGACTCAGGAACTTAAAATTTTTACTTTCCAAATATCCTCAGTGTACCTCAAGTTATTTCTGTTGCCATTGTCAGCAGCAGGAGCTGAAGTACAAACTCTTCGAGCACGTATTCGACGGAAATTAGAAAAAAACTCACCGAATAGATGTTGAAAAGAGCTGGAACCGTGATTGATGATTAAGAGCGGTTGGTTGATAATTCAAGTCCAGTGCGGCCAGACTACTTCCCCCATTTCTGAGTCTCGAACTGATCCCCCAAAACGAAAACTATCTGTTCTGATTGCAGGAAGCTTCCTGTATCGGCCTGTACCACGGTTCTACTTCCTCTGTCCCACAATGACCGTACTGTGACTCATTTTCTGCTGTCCCTGAATGATAGTCCCCTAACTAAGAACCCAGTACGATACTGTACAATCACTACCAGTAACATCATTTTACTATTTACTAAACTCATTACTACATAATACTACTACTAATGGACTACTCATGCAGTGTTGGTGGCTTCCGCTTCAGCTTGTGCCAGTAATGCACGTCCCGCATTGATGCGATCAGGATCACAAATGATCGAAATCGGAAGGGTACCTTCTCTCATTAGGCTTGCTTTGCCCATATGCGGAAGCTTGTAGTTGTTATCACCGTCTACACCAAGAGATGCTTCCATACAAGCCTGCAGGGACAAAAACACGTTGTTCAATGTTTCACGCTTGCACTCATCAAATGCTTCCTCAACATTTGCAATCAAATGATCAATATCCTTCGAGCGCTTCTTATACTGTAAGCTTTGAATTGAATTGAAGAATCCAAGGTCAAGTACATTCATGTCCGGACTGTTTGGTGGTTGAGTCTTCACAGTAATGTTCCAACCTTTGCTAGCTGCAGCTGCTTTCACCTCCTCCCTGATAGTAGCCTTATGGGGCTTCGCATTATCCTCCTGAATGAAAATCTCCGGAGTACTAGATCCCCTCGGCCACTTCTCGTAAATTGCAGGCAGTACCTTCTCAAGCAACATCCGCTTGTACACCTCCCCATCAACGTTCTGTGGCTTGGTAACCAAGGTTCCTTTGGGACGATTCACAGACGATCTTTTGGCTGGTTCTTTTACGACAAAGGGCCAAATACCAATCTTTCCATCAAACCAAGCACAATTGTTCGTATCCCAACGTGGACGGGCAGTTGCACACAAAAACATAACCTTAGTCATATGGTTCTTCGACTTTGATGTAGACTTGGGCTCAGCTTCACCTGGTAGGAGATAGGTTGTCTGCTTTGTACGCTTAAGATAAAACCATTTCTCGTCAATATGAATCCACTTGAACCAATCATCAAACCTGCCGTTGTCATCAATGTGTTCCAGGATCCATTCAACTCGCTTCAGTTTATTCTTAGCCGTCAACAAGGGCTTGGTGGTTCCGTTGTGCTTTCTCATATCCCCGCGTCTGACAAGGCGATGCAAAGATGACTTAGGAATCCCAGTTACAGCGGAAAGAGTTCGTAAATCACCACGGTCTTTCATTGGAACACGTCTTACTAGTGCATCTAGATCTTCTAGATGCATTTGTTTGCGGCCACATCTGTTTCTTCTGTTGGAGACATTCCCTGCAGGGCAATTGATTGGATCACAAGTTTCCTTGTATCGTTTCCAAATCCTTGAGATAGTTTTAGGGGAGGTTTGGAACACTACGGCAGCAGCTTTCTGGGCTCCCCTAGCAAGAACTTTGTCTTCTCCGTGACTGCTTCTCAAGTTTTGGAGAAGAAAGTGAACAACAGCACTTCTTTCATTGTTAGACAAGAGTCTCAACTTCTTTGTTTGTGGACTAGCCGTCTCGCTTCCAGTGTCGCTAGCAGTCTCGCTTGCAGCAGTATCACTTGGAGTATCACTTGCAGCAGTATCACTTGCAGTATCCCTTGTAGTAGTATCGCTTGCCGTATCACTTGCAGTATTGCTTGCCGTATCGCTTGCCGTATCCCTTGCAGTATCGCTTGCCGTATCTCTTGCTCGTCCAGTATCGCTTGCTCGTCCAGTATTGCTTGCCGCCGTATTGCTTGCACCAGTATCGCTTGCACCGGCTTCAAGCAGCAGCTCAATCGCATTAGTTATCATCTTGCTGTTAGTTGATTTGCCTTGAAAAGAATGAAGGGGGAAAAGAGTGAGTTCAATGGTTGATTGTTGAATACGGACCGGTCGATGGAGGTGCTTCGCTTCCCGCATCGGTGAAAGCAACTGAGGCGCCGGCGAGTCCGTGGATCCCCTCTTAGTGGACGCAACGGAGGCGAACTCCCTCTTAGTGGAAGCAACGGAGACGCTGGACGCGATCCACTCGGAAGCAACGGAGACGCGATTCCCTCTCAGTGGAAGCAACGGAGGCGGAGAAGCGCCGGCGAGTCGATGGATCCCCTATCAGTGGAAGCAACGGAGACGCGAGTCATTCCCCCTCCGCGTTGCCTCACCGAAGCCGCGAGGCGAGTCGCTTCCCCCCTCTTAGTGGAAGCAACGGAGACGCGTTGGCTCAACGGAGACGCACTCCCCCCCCCCCGCCTCTTAGTGGAAGGTCTTCCCCCCCTCAGTGGAGGTGCGTAGTGGAGCCCCGTAGTGGAGGCGCGTAGTGGAGGCTCAACGTCGATGAGTCACATGAGGTGCAAAGAAGAAGGGTCTTAGTCAGTTGAATGGAAAGAGCGACGGAAAGGAGTTGAAGAGAGGAAATTGGGAGGTGTGAGTGAATCAAGAGTGAAAATTATCACGTGAAAATAACACGGGGATCATTTTTGACCCATGCGCACAGCACTTTTTTTTCTCTTCGCATTGGTTCTCCAGCTCAAAATTGAAAAAACCGAATGAAAACTGCATGCGCCCGGAGCCGTTTTTTGCTTCCTCTAGTGACCAACGAAGACTGCATAAGAATGTTCCTGTGACAAACACTTATTATTGCCTGATAAAATACACAAGACTAGCTTACTATTGCTCCATGTCCGGTCTTTAAATGACCAGTAGAACCCTTCCAACCCGTAAACTGAAAATCATATGCTAAAATGGTGTCCCTTTAAGTAGCTATTGCAAGTACGTTAGACTCTTTGACTATATAAAATCTTAATGACTGTATACTTCTATAATAGATCTATTAAGTAGAAAAAGAAGCATTCTAATTGCCCAAATATTGAGCTTATTCTAGTAGTAAAGGTGTTAGGGTACAATCATTCAGGGACGGAGGAAGTAGGGTACTAATTATGTGCTAAAGTAGTATGGTGGTAGAGTACTGGTAGGACCTACTAAGCGTACTTTGTATTCCCGACAAGACAATTTTTCGTGGATACGACTTTTCAAATTAGTGCTGAAACTGACGAGTAATTGAAAAACGCCATGAGCACACACATCAACAGCAGTTACTTAATGTATCATTTCATCGTCCCAACTAAGAGCATTGATGACCATACCGTCTCAGCTTGCTCTAGATCTATAGCATCAATCTCTTTTTGAACGCAACGACATTGTGGCTCCTTCTTCTTGTCGGCATTGATCGTCTGATTGCAGAATCAAAATGACCTCCCGACGGAACCGTCCAAAACTGTCGAATGCACTGACTCTGCTTCGGCTTTTTGGCATCGTGGTACTTCTTTCGTTATCTATTTTATATCCAATTTACGATGTTTTGGCAGATGCTGTACAGCATTTAAATCTGGATGGCCCAGAATCTCTTGCGGAAGGGAAAAATCTATTTCAAGACGGAAATTATGATCAAGCCGCTCTCTACTTTTGGCGTGCTGTATTACTGCAGGGGGAGAGCCGCGGGAAATATTCTGTCGAAGAAGCATTTCAAGGATTCCTTAGCTGCTACTCAATTCGTGGCAGGACTGTGGACGGTTTCTTATTCATCGCAAAGGAAGTTATTGCGCGAAAGCAGAAAGATATGGCTTTGGCATATATTGATCAAGCGTTGGCGTAAGTGCCTGAATTGTTTGAGGTACTCCTTTGGAGAGTTCAATTTGTCATTTTTCAATTTTTTTCAAGTGTCTGGTTACGAGTTTTCTAACAGCTAAAGATCTCATCGTGTACATGATGTATGTGTAGCATCGAACCCGAAAATAAGGAGGCGCTTGCTCTTAGAGAGCGGATCAAGAGTGGAGGAGCTTCTGGTAGTGGACAGAAGGTGAAGACCAAAGAAAGAGAAAATAAATTCCAGCCCCAGTGGGGAACGCCTGAAGCAAATAATCCCTCAGCAATGACTGGGAAAACTCCGGAAGATTTGTATGAATATGGATCGACTCTGTTTTCTCGCAAAAATTATGAACATTGTGCTGATGTCTTTGAGCTGTCTTGCAAGCGGTCAGGTTATAGCCTAGGGCCAAGCTGTAGTAATGCTGTGTATTGCCGCATGATGATCATGGATTGGGGATTCAACGGAACTGGTTTTGAAAGTGATATGCTTCGACTGAAAGAACTGGCTGAATACGAAAAAGAAAAGTTTAGAACAGGAGACCTTGATAACTTCAAGTGGAACCGAGCCATGTCAACTCATCCTCATATGATGCTTGGATATCCCCTTCCTCCAATGCTGAAGCGATACGTAGCAGAATCAGTTGCCTTCATGGACGAAATGATGGCCCGAATCTCGGATGGAGGAACATCTCTTTCCCCTCTCCCGAAAGACATGCCCTTCGACCCCGTATCGCAACGAGAAAAGTATGTTGCAGAGGCATCCCAACCCGGTTTCAAACTGAAGGTTGGATTTGTTGGCAGTGGTTTCAATTCTAAGGCCGTTCTCTATTTATCACAAGATATTTTTCGATTCTACGATCGAGACAAGATTGAAATGCATATTTTTTCTCTAGGCCCGCCCGATAACGAAAATTTTATTAATATTGGCATGAAGGGCACAGATTGGAGGAAGCGAGTTGCCGGTCACGTAGACTATTTTCATGACAATGAAGAAATCAAAATGGATCACGTTGGTTTGGCAAGATATATTCATGATCAGGGGATACATGTTCTGATCGAATGGGATGGATATGCACGGCAGGGTGAAAGGGCACAAGGTTTGATGGCATTGAGGCCCAGCCCCTTACAGATTTTACATCAAGAGTTTTTGGGCACAAGCGGTGGAATATATGTAGACTACATTGTCACAGATAAGATAACTTCTCCTCCACATCTGGCAGATTTGTACACGGAAAAATTCCTTTATCTTCCCAATCATTTTTTTAGTAAGGGACATGCCGTGCAGGAAGAGGTCAAGAAACCAACGTACGATTATCTACCCGCAACAAAACCATACAAGATTGGAACAGGGTCACCTTCTGAAAATGCATGCTTGTCACAATCGGCGAAGAAACCGAAATTTGTGTTCTGTAATTTCAACAAGTTCCTAAAAAATAGTCCAGAAACAGTTCGAAGTTGGATTCGAATCTTGCGAGAAGTTCCCGATTCGATGCTGTGCCTCCTTGAGAATCCTCAGTCGGGTAAAAAATATTTGCAACGTTTTGTGCACGAGGCAGCAGGCAATCCGAAGACTTCTAAGGACCCGGACACGAAAGAATTTGTACCAGATTTTGAACCAACGGATGGCGATTCTCTGAATAAAAGAATTCACTTTTTGCCCTGGGAACGAAACCCATTTGATCACCAAGCACGAAACCAAGATTTCTGTAATGTAATGTTGGATTCACACCCTTATAATGGTCACACTGTAGCTCAGGATGCCCTGTATGGCGGTGTGCCTATAGTAACGCGCAGTGATGGTGATGATATGAGTTCAAGAGTGGTACGTACGGAATCTGCGTCAGCGAGTCCATGAATATGCATACAATCGCTGTCGTGCCTTGCAAGTTTTGCTCACATTGTGCACTGCTTCATTAATATTTGTTTTTAGACAACGTCCGCAAACATAGTTTTAGGGTTGGAGGAATTGAACGCAGTAGGCGGAGTCCATCATTATGAGGACATCGCCATTGAACTTGGAAACAATAAAACAAAGTACGACAACATTCGACGAAGACTTATCGACACAGCCCTTCAAACCAACCCCATGCACCCTTATTGGGATGCCCCCCGTTATGTTAAGAATCTTGAATCTGGCCTGATTGCTGCCTGGAATCGCTTCATCGCGGGAGAAGAGCCTGCCACTATCGAGGTCGTTGAATCCTTCGAAACATCGAAGGGCACATATGACGAAACTTTGATCAATAATCCGTCGGATCGAATTGATCACGATGAACTTTAGGGATGGAAACCTTGTTTGAAATCTCATGAAACACACAATTCTAATTTCTCATCACTTTACGAGCTAAACTATTATAGCTGCCACTTTATGTCCCAGTTTCGTTTTGCAGTGTCTTAGTAAAGTCACGATCTTTCGTTACTAATGACAATTCCAGCTAGACCTTGACGGTACAAACCCCTTGCTTTTTGAAAAGGCGATTGCATATCACTGGGTATCAATAATTGCAGGTCTCGTTAATTGATCTTAGTTACCGGTCTTGCCCAGCCCGCAAATAGTTTTTAGTGAAGACATAAAGTGTTAAAATAAGTTAAGAACTTCAATACAAAGTTAAGAACTTTGATTCAAAGTTGTCAACTATTCTAGGTAGGCCCATGTAGAATTAGCACCGGCAGGTCAGTAGCTGTTCAGAAAACAAGAAGCAAAATTAGTTGAGTATGGTCTGTACTACAAAATCTCTGTAGAAATCTTGTAGGATTCAATCAAATCAATGGGGACAACTGCTCATTTTGGTCAAAATTGATTAGTTTTGATTGCTCATTCAAATCCTACTGGGGCATAGTGCCTTCACCTGAGGCAATGTTCCTTAGGGGGAACAGACACAAAGCTGCCAGTGAGGCCAGGGAGAAGAAGAAGGCTGCCATGTCAGCAGCTGGTGGTGGTGAGACTGCCACCTTGCCACAGCTCTTCAGCAAGTTAGTTGCTGGCTCATTGCAGAATGGAGTGCTTGATGCCACAGCTCAAGCAAACACTGCTGTAGATGATCCAGTTGCTGCTAAGAATTCTTTTCCCTTTTCAACACAAAGAGTGCTCACTAATCCCTATGTTCAGGGGAATATGGCAATGAGGCACACCATGCAAGGAATGGGTCCAATGGGGACTGAAGACTGCATGAGATTAGTCCCTTGCTGGGATGTGTCTACAGTAGACAACTTTTTTCAAGCTTTCTGCTACAGAGGTGAATGGAATCCAGATGTCAGCCATTGGGATCTGTCCAGTGTGAAAAATATGGGTACTATGTTTGGTGAACATAGTACTTTCAATCACCCAATTGGCAATTGKGATGTGTCAAAAGCGAAAGACATGTCAAATATGTTCAATCAGGCCTCTGTGTTCAACCAGGATCTCAACTCAAGGGACACCTCTCAAGTAACAAGAAGGATGGACTGTACATTCATTTATGCCACTAGATTCAACAAGCCACTTCATCATTGGAATATATCCTACTAAGGTCACTAATTTTATGGAAATATTTGCATACTCTTCATTCAATCAACTAATCCAAACTTGGGATACCAGAAGCGTTTCAGGTAATGGAAGTGGTCAAAGTGTGTTTATGAACACCCCATTCAATCAACAATACGTCCCAAATTGGATGCATCTGTGGGACAGAGAACCACAAGACATGAACATTGTCTCAAACATGTTTTGGGAAACCAGTTGTCCAATTGTAGGCATTCCATCTTCATATACYTATCCAAGGGATACCAACCCCACCATTGAGAATTGGTGTTGTGATGAATGTAACCCCATTGTCAGCACTCCCCTCAAACAGTGGGAGATCCAAGGYAATGTATACAGTCCAGCTAGTACTGTAGTCCAGTGCTCACTAACAACATCCCCACTAGTAAGAAGGAATAATAGATGTAATCCAGTAGTAGTAAGCACTAATAGAAATTTTCAAGCAAGAAATGAAATTACCTCTCCAGTACTAGTAAGTACCTCAAATAGAAATATTTTGGGACGAAGTTTTTTGTGTGGAGGGGGGGAGAGTGGAAATGAAGACGGAAAATGGAAAAATTGACAGCCGGGGAAATGCCAAAAACTAGCCATTATGGAGCCCGTACGGTACATAGTAGTAGCATCGCAACGACGGGCAATTCCTGGGGGTTTATTTACTGTATCTGTGGTTTGTCGACCGTTACGTTCGTAAAAATGAAAATTAATTTGAAATTTGATTTCCTTTCTCACACGACATTCTTTCTTCCGAGTTCGTATCGTACGGTACTATTAATCGTGTCGTAGACCATACCCTTACTCTTACTCGTACTCCGTAAAACATTCTCTTCCGTGATGATGCTGCGGCACAACCAGCAGCTTCGACAATTGGTTCCGAATTGAATTTGCAATACAATGCACATCGAGTGCTACCTCATCTTCTAGCATTATATAATTTACCATTCGGACATTGCACTGAAAAAAAGGAAATATGCGGGCAAGATGGAGTCGTCATTCCCACGGGAAGAAAAACGACACAGAAAACTGCAATCATGTCGCTCCTGCTCACGAAGAAGAAAATGATAATGCTCTCGTTATMTTAGAATCTGAAATAGTGTACTCGATCGAATCCTTCGGAGCACTTGCGATGCCGGTAGCCGTCAATATGATTCTATCGGCCTTTGTGGTTGTATTTGTCAACACAGACGAAACCATTGCTGCCGGCGAAGAAATCTATGAAATCTATCAGGTCTTTGACGTGGGAGACGACGAAGAACTGTCGTCTTTTTCAAAACTCGGACGTTCCTTGATCAATACACTCATCATAGTATCGGTTCTTTGTCTCATGACCTTTGTGGTGGTTCTGTGTTACAAATATCGGTTCATGAAATGTCTTTACGCCTACATGGTAATGGTAACAGCAGCCCTGTTGGGGTATTTTACCAGCAACTTATTAATGGTGGCCATTTCGATTTATCCATGGATGAACACCGATTTGGTGACCTTTGTATTTTTGATGTATAATTACGCGGCCGTTGGGACGATAGCAATTTTCCTTCCAAGAGSTATTCCACAATGGGTCACACAGGCATATTTGATTGCCACAAGCGTCTGCCTGGYCTGGCAGCTTTCCTATTTCGGTTCTTGGATGACCTGGAGTCTCTTGGTAATGCTCGCTTTGTACGATCTCTTCGCGGTCCTTACACCGTGYGGACCCCTGAAGGCCCTAGCAAACATGATTTCCGAGAAGGAAGCCCCGGCATTGCCGGGTCTCCTGTACGAGGCAACCTTGCCGAGCGGGGTTACCAAGAATAGTGCTAAGAGCACGCGTCGTATGGGGTCTRAGACGAAATCCGAAGAAGAAAATCGGTCTGAAAAGAATGATACTGTTTCYGATGAGGATATCAGCGGGATTAATTACGGCAKCGGCGATGGAAATCCGAATGACTCAGGGGAGGTATATTCAACAAGTAAAGCACTCGATCCTCAAGAAGAGAATGTGCAGTCGGTGCCTTCGCGTATTGTGGAAAAGTCAGCGGYACCATGCCATCAGCAGGTGATAGAAGAACGGGAAGGAGCATACATACAACCATCAAGGGATGAGGGAGACGAAAAACTGCAAAGCAGGAGAAAAGCAACACAACCATCCGTAATAAACTATCCCGCAGACTTCTCCAACGTGGGACAAGTCCCATTGGCGCTCGCAAAATTGTACCAATTGTCTGTTCTTGATACCGATGGGATTTTGAAAGGACGGTCCATCGAGCCGCAGCAAAATCGAAACATTTTGGTAAAAKGTGGTCCCAATAGTATTGGTAGCGGTGCTTCAACCTATTATACGGGAACGGAAGTCCGATCGATGGAATTCACTCCTCAACAGCTGAGCACTGAGCTGACTTGTGTCTTTCCTCCCCGGGGTGGGAGAATTTCCAAGGCCCGTGCTSAAGATCAAACCTACGATGGGGGTACTGCATACTTAGTGTACGGCCGGACGGGGAATCTGCAGCGCAAATTCATAGTAACACGACAGGGCTCCGTTATGGAAGTAGTGAGGCGGGATGTCTCCCCTGMGGACGACGATAAAACAAAAGGTGAGGACGACAAAAGTACTATCAAGCTTGGCCTCGGAGACTTTATCTTTTACAGTGTCTTGGTCTCCGAGGCGGCACAATACTCGTTTACAGCCTGTGCCGCGTGCTTCCTGGTGGTCCTTTGGGGCTTGGCAGTCACCCTCGTGATTCTCGCAATCAAGGGCAAGGCACTACCGGCGCTTCCGATTTCCGTCTTTTTAGGGGTCATTATCTTCTTGTGGACGAAAGCCTTCCTTCAGCCGTGGGCCTTCGATTTCCTGTCGTTGTCGATCTATGTATAATTATTTTCATCAGCACTTATTGGCGTGGATTAGAACGAAGGATAGATATTAGGCAAGATTAAAGGATGTTGTATAACGGCAGAAGYTGGGCATGTAAAGTGTCGTGTAGTGTCATGCCGTTTCGTGTCGGACCGTGTGCAATAGGTGTTATAGTGCGTTGTGCATGTTCCACTTTAAACTATCCATCATTTCTGCTCTGTGTCTACTTTTCTTTCAAGTACCATTCCAGATCATGATTAGATGTAGAATAGACAAGGTGAAGTTTTCGCACATGCTAACCAACCAGGCGACAAACCGCCATGCAGGCCCCGGTTTGGACAGCGGAATAACATCAATGACCTTGAAGATTCCCAGTACGGCCTACTTTCTGCTAGTACTACTACTACTAGTAATGTCTCAACTGACTTGATCCAATATTGAGACATGTGAAATGGCTCCTTTGATTTTTTGTGATGTCTTTTCCGTCTCCCCTCTTCAACGCATTGCTAGTTCTACTAGTAGTAGTAGTACTACTACGACTAGTAGTAGTATCTCCTGCTGTACTAGCAGTGGCTACTAGAAGTAGTACTTGTAGTAGTATCAGTACCTCCTGTACTAGCTAGTAGTAGTAGCTACTAATACTACCAGTACTTCTTCTACTACTAGTAGTACCAGCAGCAGTAATAATACTAGTAGCACCAGTAGTAGTACTACTTCTAGTAGTACTAGTAGTAGTTATTTTTCTTCTTGTTTTTCATTCTTGTGCTGGGTAGGAGGAACTAGCAGTACTAGTAGCAATAGTATTAGTACTACTGGTACTAGTAGTACACCAACTACACTGTTTTTAGTAGCTACTACTACTAGTTCTAGTATGATAGGTCCCAGCAGTACTAGTAGTAGTAGTAGTAGTCTCCTGAGATCAGGGTGCTGCCCCTTAGAGCAGCCAGGAGCATTCTTCTCCATGCAAGTTATGGCTCTTCTTGTCCAAGAAGTGCCTCTTCTTCTAGTTTGCAAGGTTAAATATAATATCAAGATTTCTTTAGAGAGACTTCTTAGAGAGGCACATTACTTCCTTCGTTATGGCAACAAGAACATTTGAACAGCCATCACTACCACTTACAAATCCACTATCAATAAATGCTCCTTGAGCCTTTTCCTTAAGAATGCATTTGGTTTCATGATCTGAGGTGAACTTGATGCACAATCAAGAATAACCAGTCAGTAGACAACATCAATAATCTCCACGATGGTTTATGAGCTGCCTTTGCTWCTTTCAGAGAAGTATGCGAGTCCTCCCATGATATTTGATGTCAAGAAAATGAAGTTTGCTGTAGCATTTTTTATTGGTGACATCAAGTAGCATGACAAGCTCTGTGGTGGCCATTATACACCATCTGTGAAAACTAAAATGATAAAAATGATATACAGACATATCTGTACGATGTTATTCTTGGTGTTGCGAGGAGAAAAAAATTGCTGATGAGGATAAAAAACTGTATGAACCCCAGCAGAAAAGAGGGTGAAATTTGTGCTGCTGAGAAATGCAGGAGGGTGTGAGAACATGTTCTTCCAGAGAAAAGAGTTGCAAGTTTTGTATTGGAGCATCAAAAATACACACGCGATTTTGTTTTGGAAACTGAAAACACCAATATCTGTTTGTATGACATAGTAGTAATAGTACTAATACTCCTAGTAGTACTACTASTAGTAGTAGTACTACTAGTTCTTGTAGTACTAAGAATAGTACTAATATTACTACTGTACTATTCTTAGCTACTAGTAGTACTACTACTCAACAAAAGAACTGTACTACTACTAGTAGTAGTACTAGCTACTACTACTAGTACTAGTAGTACTTTTATCAGATAGGTGGTAGCATACACTTTGCGTGACCAACTGTGACTAAGGTAATCACGAAAGTGGGATTGGGCTTCCAGGGACCAATGAATGTATCAACAAAAAAAGAATCAACAACAACGTTTACAGTCTCTTCCGATTATTCGTTATCACAGGATGTGATAGCATACCGTAGTACCGTACCATACCGTCGGTACCATGGTCAAGATTCCCGTACGTAAGGTACAACAAATTGCGTACCGCGAACGTCGTTACTGTACACCCCAGATAAAAACGACGCAGCAGAAACTCAAAGGTACTACTCTAGGCTTAAATCGAGTCAATCAACCATCTATGGAGCCAATGCTACCGGTATTGAGTGAAGGAGACGCTTTTTTGGCGCGGTTGGTTGCTGACGAAAGCAAGCTGAAACAGGAACAGGAAAAACCGCACCCTATTTCGTACAGTACGACGGTGCTGTACTATTCCAACCTGGTACTTTTTCTATGGACGGTCTCATCCGCACTCGTACGAGATGCATGATACGAGTAACCATACAAAAAACGGAACGATGTACGAACAACCAGTACGAGTACTCGTATGTTTCAAAATGTCGACTAAGGCTTTTCCTCATCGACAGATAATTCGATTCAATTCTTTCTGGTGTCTCCGTCAAAATAAAACATCACCTTTGATTACTTCAATAACCACGACCCTCAATACTCTCTCACTACAGAAATTTTCAAAAATGAGCAATCCTCCCGACGAAGCCTCCAGTGGCTCTGCAACCCAACCCGATGAATCGGCGGTGAAAGCAGATGCTAGCGTCTCCAAACCCGAGGTAAACGCCGCTGTCAAGAACGAAGAGGAAATCGCCGCGTCCAACAGCAACAGCGGAGAAGAAGACGACGACGAGAAATCAATCMAATCGGAAGGAGCCGACGAAGAAGATGCATTGTTTACTACCCTCGAAAAGAACGAGGAACAAGAGGAGGCTTCCCACCCCCAAAGCCAACCCAGCGACGCCAAGCAAGCGCCAATGCTTCTTCAATCGGCCATAGCAAAGGGAGATGTCAAAACCGAGRCCAAGCCCAAGGAGGACGAAGAAAAGAAAGGTGAAGAATCTTCCGACAATCAAATCATCCATCAGAGGGTAAGTAACTTCAACAAAACAGAAGCATTTGGGTCGATTTCGTTCTCTCGAGAGCAACAAAGCGTGACATCGCGTCTTAGTCTACGTCTTCCAACACAGAAAATTTTGCGTAGTTGAACTTTTTTGACTCATTGTTTGATCATGCATCCTCAGTTTCCAACTCACATTGCGAAATATGTTTTTCTGATGTTTTGAAATTGTGCTTCTCAGCAAAACCAACTCGACTTTTTGCTTTCAAAAGCCTCTGAGTACAGTAATTTCATCTCAAATGATTTGGAAGAATTACAGAATGCGATGGTACGTTGCTACTATCTCTAACTGTTGGTGCTGACTTTTTTCTTTCAATTAATCCCATGTAAAGATGAAAAACTTTACTCTAACCATGATTATTCCATCATTTTATCATATAATCACAATTCCGGCGTCGGTACCACATCCCATCGCATCTCAAAACAGGCCGAGAAAGCTCGACAAAAAGCTGAAAAGGCTGAGAAAAGAAAGCGAAAAAGCTCGAAAGGCGGCTCCAAGAGTAGCAAGAAGGGAAAGGGGAACAGCGGGGAGGCATTGAAATCGGCTTTTGAAAAGGATGCCGAGGCCCGCACGGGATCGAAACCAATCTTTACGCAACCTCCCAATTTAACGAAAGGGTGCGTCCTGAAAGACTACCAGCTGGAGGGCGTTCGTTGGCTTGCTAGCTTGTACGAAAACGGTGTTTCTGGAATCCTGGCAGACGAAATGGGTCTGGGAAAGACTATCCAGGTGATAGGGCTGGTGGCACACTTATTGACTCAGGAAGTTACGGGACCATTCTTGGTGGTCGCACCGTTGGCAACGCTTCCAAACTGGGTTCGAGAATTCGAAAAATGGCTACCAAGCAAGCCTGTTATGCGGTATCACGGAGCCGCTCCGGACCGCGAGGCAATGCTCAGGGGCCCGCTGAATCCAAAGGAAAAGCGAGACAAGAAGTTTCCCGTCGTGGTTACGTCTTTCGAGACGGCAATCCGCGATCAGAAGAAACTGGGCAAGCTCGGGCCCTTTGCCTACGTTATCGTTGACGAAGGGCATCGACTGAAGAACCACCGTTGTATGTTGATTCGGTCGCTCAAACAGCTCGATGCCTCCAACCGTCTGCTCCTCACCGGTACACCGATCCAAAACACTCTAGACGAACTCTGGGCTCTGCTGAACTTTGTGAATCCACAAATATTCGACGATCTTAGTGTCTTCCAGTCGGTACGTCGATATTTTATGTTCTGTGCATTTTGTGATACGTTCGATGTCTTCTTTTGAATTCGCTCAAAGGCACTTTTATCTGTATCAAAACCTATCGTCTCTAAACAATTACATCATAGTGGTTCGGATTCAAAGGTACGTGTTTYCTTGGGAACCAACAATTGTCGATGATTGTGCATTCTGCAAAATTTATGTGAATCGACTTCAAGAAAACTTACTCACACCCCTTTTTTCTWCTGTTTGGATTCTACAGACATTGGACAGAAATCGCACAATGGTACTAGCGAGGAAGACATCATGCTAGAACAGCGCAAAAATAAGACGGTCACAAAGCTGCACGAAATTCTCCGTCCTTTCCTGTTGCGCCGTGTCAAGGTGGATGTGCTGAAGGAAATGCCTCCGAAAAAAGAGGTAGTCGTCTACTCGGGTATGTCAAAACTCCAGCTTGGGTACGCTGAACTTATTGAGAAGGGGGTTCTCCGTGATGACTTGTTGCGACAGGGGATTATGGATGGAAAGAATCTGAGCCAAACAAACAAGATGATGAATCACCGAAAGAACGTCAACCATCCCTTTATGTTCGGAGAACCATTGGATCCAACGACGGGGTCTCACATCGGGACACTTTATCCCCATCTATTGATTCGTGCAAGTGGGAAATTCGCCTTGATGGATCGAATGTTGAATAGGCTACACAAAGGTGCGTGTTCCATCAATTTTCCTCGCTTTCTAGTACGGTATGGCCTATATCTGCTTTCGCTGTCGATCTCACACCCCTCGGTTGTTTTTGTCTCTTTCTTCCCCATGACATAACAGACGGCCACCAGGTTCTCATCTTCAGTCAGATGACCAAGGTTCTGAACATCATCGAAGACTACCTCAACTACCGTCACTGGAAATACTGCCGGATCGATGGTTCCACCAATATCGATGATCGACAAGCGGCGATGGACGTCTTCAACGCCGAAAAGACCGGAGGAAAGAACGGCGAGCGCAACCTTGCGGATGACCGGTACTTTGTCTTCATGCTCAGTACCAGAGCGGGCGGCCTGGGCATCAACCTGACGAGTGCGGACACATGCATCATTTTCGATTCGGACTGGAACCCCCACGCAGACTCCCAGGCCATGGACCGGTGCCACCGGCTGGGGCAGACCCGCCCCTGCGCCATCTACCGCTTGCTGACGAACAACTCGGTCGACATCGAAATGATGGAGAAACAGGTCTCGAAGAAGAAACTGGAGCGGATGACCATTGCCGGTGGTGACTTCCGCAAGGCGGGCAGGCGCTCCCAGGGAGAGATGACCTTTGACAAGCTGCAGAATCTTCTCCAGAGCGACATCCAGGACCTGCAGGGCCGGGGCCAAGACATCGAGGACATCAGGATTTCCGACGAAGAATTCGAGCTGATCATGGACCGGACAAAGCTGTTCGCGGAGGGCAAGGATGCGATTCCCACGGAAGGGAAAATGTACAACGTGATCAACGCAGCGGGAGGCGACATGCTGGGAGCGATGACAACCTAAGAATAGCAACGGCGCACTAAAACTATCAATATGTAACGCAAAGTAATGCAGCCTAAATTAACACCAGGGAATAAAGTACTTGCTGCTGGATATAACGGCAAAATACAACGGTTTCAATCAGCAGACGATGCAACCTCGGTAGAGATTCTGTGTGCAGTAGCAATAGTCGTTGTCTCATGAGACCAAAATGATAGCGACGCGGGTCCTGGTCGGCATGACGAACAAATGGAGAGAAACGCACATTTATAGTACCGTATGACCCCRGCCAAACAGAATCGCTGGCACTGGAAATAGACCCCATGGCCAGGTGTGTCGGACTATTTCCTTGCTTTAAAACGAGAACATTGCCACAGGTTCCAATGCCGTGATCCAATCCAGCCGAAAGGATCCGCGCAAAGCGTCGAGTGAAACGAATTGTTTGAGTTGCGGGCAGAGCGTAGGATTACGATAGAACGTCGAATCRTGCTAATCRTTTGATGTCTAAGTAGTTGGTGCTTTTATGTGAGTCTATCGCGTTGCCTCCTTAAGCCACCTCCGATCATCGTTTGGTTTGCATTTGTTGTTCCGGCACACAAGGCCAGATACCGGAGACGAGCCATCCCTCCAGTTACAAATAAAGACCTTCCGGAATATTTCCCTTTTTGCGGTACAAGGCCTTTTCTTTTGCCTTGTCAAAGTCTTCTTGGCAGACCTTCATTCGGCGTTCTCTCAGCGCCAGCATACCCGCTTCGGTGCACACCGCTTTGATATCGGCACCACTTAGCTCGTCGCGACTCTGAATAAATTTTTCCAGGTCGACCTGTTTCAGTTTTGAAAAAATGATCACGAAGAGAGCGATTGAAAGTGTTGAGTTGAGAACGAATCAACGCCAAACATGAAACACCTGCGTAGTATGAAAAGATAAACTACCTGTTCCGACAAACACGGTTCCCGGGTCCCGTTGGGGTCCCGTTGACGACAGAACACCATCATCGATCGCCGTCGTCGTCGCCGTCGCCGTCGTTCACCAGCACCAGAATCGCAAAAAACTTACGTCTTCCGCCAGGGTCATCTTGTTTGTGTGGATGTTGAAAATGTGTCGCTTCGTCTTGGTGTCGGGAAGCGGGAACTCGATCTTTCGGTCGATGCGGCCGGGCCGGATGAGGGCGGGATCGAGACTCTCGATTCGATTCGTGGCCATAATGACCTTGACATCACCGCGCTCGTCGAAGCCGTCCAGCTGGTTGAGGAGCTCGAGCATTGTGCGCTGGATTTCTCGGGTGCCGCCACTGGAAGAATCGTACCGCTTGCTTCCCACCGCGTCGATCTCGTCGATGAATACGATCGTCGGGCTGAGGTCGTCGGCCACCCGGAAGAGTTCCCGGACCAGCTTCGGACCGTCTCCGAGGTACTTCTGGATGAGTTCCGATCCAACGACGCGCAAAAACGTGGCCGAGGTGTGGTTGGCAACCGCCTTGGCCAGRAGYGTTTTTCCCGTTCCCGGTTCTCCGTAGAGAATGACTCCCTTGGGTGGTTTGATTCCGATGTCTTCGTAGAGTTCCGGATGCGCGAGCGGGAGCTCGACCGCCTCCTTGATTTCCTGGATTTGTTCCTCCAGTCCTCCGATGTCGGCGTAGCTCTCGAGGGGCGCCTTTTCGACCTTCATGACGCTCACCATGGGATCCGTGTCGTCGGCAAGAATCCCAACGACACTCATCGTCTTGTTGTGCAGCAGGACAGAGCACCCGGGTTCCAGCAGGTCCTGGTTGACGCTGGAGAGAATGTTGACGTAGTATTCGGGGCCAACGGAGGAACTCACGATCGCGTGGTTGTCGTCGATGAGCTCCTCCAGGGTGCCGACTCCAAGCGGAGAACCCCGGAGYTCCTCTAGCTTCTCCCGTTCTTCCTGGTCCCGYTCCTCGTGCGGCTTGAAGACCTCGTGGTTGCGGATAAACTCCTCTTCCATGAGGAGGTAATCCTTCACGCGCTCCAGCTTTAGGAGGCGCAGCTTGCACTTCGAGGTGGGGACGATCGTTGGCGTTTTGTTCAGGCCCGAGGGACCCTTTCGACGGCGGCGGCGGCCCTGCCGGGTGGCCGGGCGCGGCTCGAATCGCTTTTTCTTCTTCTTCTTCTCGGCTCCGTCGGGGTCGTCCTTCCCGCTGCGATCGGCGGGGGGGCCGCCGCCTTCGCCTCCCGGTGGCATGTTACCCATRGCGAATGACTAGGTTTRTGCTGTTCGTGCGAACGGAATTGGAAATCGGGTTCGAACGGCTTGGGATCGTCTTCGGATACGGATACGGATTCGGCTGCTGATTTCCCGCTCCAGGATCGTGGTTGTTGCCTGGGTTATTGGTGTTGCAGAGCAGAACAGAGCAGAGCAGGGGTGGATGTTTTCTCGTGTCGACCGCAACCGATTTGTTGCAACGGGGTCGATGGAGTTTTTTGAGACGCCTGTGGTACCGTATCGTACCGTACTGTACGATTTTCAAAAAATCCTGTTTCGTGCTCCATCATTCTCGTCGTGCTGCCGTACCGTACGGTACAGTAGTAGGTTATCGTACGGTACAGAACTAGTGTGCGCTGGAAGTCGTGGTGCACGCACCGCCGTCGTAGGGAACATGTACCTAGGACGATCGAGATTTTGATCGAAGGAGAGATTGCCATCGAAGGACATCGAAAAAACATCAGTCGTACCGTATGTTCGTACCGAKATAAGATCAGGAGGGTACGTACCCTTAGTTTATCGTCAACGTATGAACTCAGATACTGTAAGTACCGTGCGTTCGTCGATCGTAACAACCTCGACCGGGTTTGATGGCAATCGTACGAGTCCCATACGTACTCTGCTGTACAACGAGTACGACTATTTCATAAAGCCCCAAAACACAACAGAATGAGTTCTTGGTACCCATACGTACGGTACCGTACGGTTACCTTCGTATCTGTATGTGGTACTTGAGCGTACGAAGACTAACGACCCCTGGACTAACGTCTGTACGGTATGACCGGGTTTGTATGGGGGGAAAAGCCGCATTTTTGGCGTTTCTGCTTTCTGGTTCGTCTGGGATTCCGTCATACAGTACGTACGTACTCGTACTACCGTACTAGGAACTGTTCGTCGGGTTTCTTTGTCTTCGAACGACATTGTGGAGTGGAAAACACGGGCAAAGGATTAAAAAGTAATTAACAATTGCTCACCATTTTGCTTGGCCAGTTGAACACAGTAGAATTTTTACTWWATACTGTATTGGAAGTTCTTAACTTGACATTGAAGTACAATACAATAACTTCAAATTATAACTTTTTGCGCCCTGGGCAAGACGGTGTGCAATTGTTATCAAACCCGATCGATTACTGCAGAGGTTTTTAAGGAAAAAGTTTCTTAAAAAAGCCTTCGGCGACCGCAAACTCTTTCGTCCAATTACACGAAGTGCGTTGTGTTGGGTCTCGAAGGACCCAACCCAAACCAAACCAAATAGATCGGAAAGGACAACCGAGACAAGGAATAAAGCAACCGAAACCAGAGCAAAAGAAACGTCTTTTCGGAGCGAGCAGATCCATCGGCCGCAAAGGCGGAGGCACATTCTCGGTCCGAACTCCGAAACCACCGCAGTGAACCATGGAACCCCACGGCGATCCTTCCGCGGCCGGTGCGGRCCGGGGGGTCTCCCTCCTGCCCTCGTGGTACGTCGTCAAGCTCACCGCCACGGCGTCCCTGGGCGGATGCCTCTTCGGATACGACATGGGAGCGATCTCGGGAACCCTKCCGCAGCTCACGGCGACCTTTGGCCTGGACAACAACCAGAAAGAACTAGGTACGATCGGGCGGCGCAGTGCTTGTTGTGTGGCGGKTCGGGGCTAGGAGCACGGGGAGGCCTTTCGAGCWAGAGCAACAGCGAGAGAGAGACGAGAGATGCATGCGTTGCCACGTGTCCCTGCCCTCTGTTTTGCCCGCCGTGTGTACGAAACGAAACCGCTGGCTCATACTGTTACATACCGGTACTTCTTTTGCGTCGTTTGCGTTTTTGACCCGATACACAAAMCYAGTGGTCAGCATACTCTACGTGGGTGGTGCATTAGGGGCTTGCATCGGAGGAAGCCTTTGCGACCGGATCGGAAGAAAGGTCACGATCATTCTCACCGATTTCTTGTTCACTCTGGGTGCCGTGTGGTTGTAAGTGCCGTCGTCTTTGAATTGCTGTGGAACGATGCAACGCAAAGCACGGACGCGGAAGCCTGTTCGAGGGAACAACCAACTCGCCAATGCCGTGCCAGAAATCCACCTCACACACAAGCTTTTTCCCCCTCGACAAACGCTTCGTTTGTATCGCTGTGATCTCATTCTCGCGTCGTTGACAATTCCGGTGGACAACCGTCCGACCCCCGAACCCAACAATACAACGCAACGCAACGCAACGACAGATACTTTGCACCCACGTATGCGGCGGTGGTGGCGGGAAGGTTTGTCGTCGGAGTCGGGGTTGCCGTATCTGGGGTAGCGGACGTGACCTACCTGCGCGAGTGTGCTCCCATCGAATGGCGGGGCTCGATCGTGTCGGTCAACGAGGCCTGCATTTCCCTGGGGTTCTTGCTGGCCTACTGCGCCGGTTACGTCTATGCCGACGAAGGAGCCGAGGAATGGCGGACCGTCTTTGGGGTGGCCGGCATTCTGGCGGTGATTCAGTTCCTTGGTGAGTAGACGGCAGGTTGGCGCGCCGTTTGGTTCCGTTCGGGACCAAGCCGTGGCGTGCTTTTGTTCGGTCGCGACACAACTCGACGCCAATTTCGGATGTCCCAATCCCTCACACCATMTCTCCCCTCCTYGTTCCAACTGAAAACACATGCTTTCTTCTCCGTGTCTATGGTGGCTGGCATCAGGAATGCTGAAATTGCCCGAAAGCCCGGCTTGGTTAACCGAGAAAGGCCACGATGAAGCGGCCAGGCAGGCTCTGGAACTCATCAATGGATCCACCGACAACTCGTACGTAAGTGGAGACGAAAGCGGCGTAGAAACCCTTCCGTCGTTTGGACGGAGCTCGGGCAATCCCGATGGAACATTTTGGTCGTCACCAACGAGAAACGGCAGCGGCATGAATCGCCGTTCCAGCTCTTTCGAACGACGGAGAATGGAACGCGTGGATTCGAATTGTCCTCTCCGAGTGGACGATGCAGAACTAGACGGAAGCATCCAACMGGCTACGGCAACCATGAAAAACATGGAAGACGAAAAGATTTCCAACCGTAAAAAAGAGGAATATGCATCTACTCGGTTGAAAAACAGAAGTCTGTCGGCTTGTTCGTGCGTTCGGAAGTTTGGGTATAATCTTCAAGCGGCTGCATTGACACTGTCGCGCTATCGGCAGCAAACCTACATTGCACTTTTCCTTGCCGTGGCCCAACAATTCTGCGGACAGACGAGCATACTCAACTATGCACCTCTCATATTTGCCGAGGCCACAAAACAAGACGTCGAAAACGATGGAGACGCAAACGATGGTAGCACCGACCAAGATATGTCGCTGGTAATTATTGGCTTGGTWAAATTTGTCGTCACGATACTTGTTATTTGGCGGATAGAGTACATTGGTAGACGGTCGCTTCTTATATTTGGAAACTGTCTGATAGCTCTCGGCTTGCTGGCTTTGGTTGTGGCATTTGGGGGCTCAAATAATACTGCAACAAGTGGGGACGCCGATGGTGMAAACGATGCAGCCTCTTGGTCACCGATGACGAACATAAAGACGTTTGACCTGGCGCTTCCCGGGGTCTTGCTCGTGGTSTCGGGGTACTCGATGTCGTTTGGACCACTCACTTGGCTTCTGACATCGGAAATATTTCCTACAGAGATTCGGGGGAGAGCGCTCGGGTACAGCTCGATCATCACGTCTATGTGTGGCGCAATTTCTACGCAAACATTCTTGTATGGGCAGTCCATTCTTGGACCATCCTTTGTCTTTGGGATATATTGTGTGATTACGGTGGCCGGAGTTATGTTTGCCTATCTGGCGATCCCCGATACGGGGGGAAAGACAATCGTAGAAATCGAGGAATCACTGAATCAAATGTACTGGTGGAAATATAGTTCGATAGCCCTATCGCAGGACGACGAAGGGTGCATGGGGAGATCTACCAACCGATCCGAAATGGTACCATCTCCTTCGCCAGACTTTTCTGGGCACGGCTTAACGTGACAGCATGATGCACACGAGTAGAGAATCAAATAGATCAACAGCTGTATCCACTCGCATCGCACTAAATCGCTATTTTAACTACTACTTCAATCGTCGTTTGGAGTTATTGTAATACCATGCAGATGATCTTACGCTTTGCCACCGGTTCTGAATACTGCTGCTAGGTATCGCCCTGGAAAGCTAGATCTGTGGTATGGCGTGGGTGTGTCGACACCACAAGCGACCCAGAGTAGCACTGAAGGGCACGTGCGTAAGTCTGATCATTCAGATCTCTGGCCTCGTAGCAGTGCCATTCCCACCAGTCTTGTACCAAAACATCAAACTACCTCCACAATTTTTCTATATTTCCCAGCTGCCTCTGCCCATGACGTTTACAGATGAATGCTCGAAACTTAGCACCACATGACAACCGCAGGAATGGCTGGGGGGGTACATAAAATTACAACAAGTTGCTTTAGTTCTGGGGATATACAGCAGTAGACATGAGTATTTTTTAATGAATTATGCATTGGCTGCACAACTCAACCAAGCCTTCAAGTCTCAATCACCAAGCAGTCATAAATTTGACATTCTCAATTAAAGTTTCAGAGCTTGCATTAAAAGACATGAGGACCAATCAATGTGAGCTAGCTGATTGTAAGTGACAACAAGAATGAAGAATATGCACAATCTAAGCATCAGCCATTAGATATTTTTGGCCCTCCAGTGTGCAATAGAACAACATTTACTACTGTGGGTGGTGACAATACTTAGTATCATTTGCAATGGAGGAAAAGCAAAGCTTACTGTTAGTAAACACAAAGGCAGGCTTCTGCTRGTATCCATCACTTGTGCTCCAGGAAAGATTGCAGCATCGGTATCGTATAGGCTTGGCCAGCAGATGTACAGTTATAAYCTTGTATTCGTGGCCATCTTTTTTSCATGTAATGACTACTTTGACTACGTGCTCAGTACGTACCGTAATCGAATTTTTGAATCCCACCAAAATAGTTTTGCTCGCAGGTGCAAAATAGTTTCGCTTGCACGTGCACGATGTAGCCCTGGTACAAGTCAAATTTTAATCCCACGAGTCATTACAAGGTAATTAAATGACAGCTAATCCACACACACGTATAATTTAACCATATAACTGTTTTAGTCCCGAACTGACAGTTTGGGCAATAACTTTTCCCCAACGGACGCTTAAGTATGATAAGCACATGGTTGAAAAGAGAATTCAAAGAACTTTCTAATGGCGTGGGGGAGTACGGCGTACGACGAATATTGAACAATATTCTTGTACGTATATCTTGAATTGCGAATGTACGGTTATAACCGTCTTTTTTGCTTGGCCCACGCTATACGATATCAGGAGAAAGAAAAGCTAATAGTATTAATATCTCTTTTGAACAAAAATTACATGTATGAGTGTTTCTGGTGATAAATAATATAGTTTTTCTATTGTCAAATCCAAAAAATGCAGTTTGCAGCAATGGTAAATTTGTCACAATGTGCAATGAAAGGTTCTGATAAAGCCCCTCTCCTGGAAATAGCCATAACACCACCATCCATAGTACTTAGCACCATAACAAGTGTAGTACTAGCAGAATGGAATCTACAGTTGCTGCAAACCCTTTTCTCAAGGGACATCTCAGTCATAAACCCCTCCTTGGAGGGAGGTGCTGCCCCTTGGAGCAGCTGGGAGCATTCTTCTCCCCAGAAGTTCTGGTTCTGGTCATCATAGTGCCTCTTCTAGTTCGCAAAGTTAAATACTAGTACTTTAAGATTGTTTAAACCAAATGGTTGTGATAAAGATGAGGAAAGGATTCGCATTGGTGCAGGGGATGGATCAGTATCTGACAATCTGCATGTTCTAGGGGTATCTCTCTCTCTCTATGCAATATACTAAAGAACTGGTCAGGGCCCTTTCTTCTTTCCAATAGAAAACTCTCAACTCTCAAGTGAAGAAATTACAATCAGAATGCCATTATCAAGAAGAATTATGTTGCCAAGCCCAATGAAGTTACAAACCAAGATTTCAAAAATGGCTCAAAAATGAAATACCAAGAGGCTTGGCAACAGTCAAACTTTGGCAAGGAAAAACTGGTAAGGTAGGGCATTCTTAGTATCTTAATGTAGAGAAAAAGTAAGAAGTAACCAAACATCTGGCCCTCAATAAGAATTTTTTTCTTGCTTGTCCTTGTTTTGACAGCTGATATGAAAGGTTCCCTTTCCCCCAACAATGCTGTTCCTGATGATTTTCCAGGAGCTGTTGAATTTGTGAACAACTGATGATTTTCCAGGAGCTGTTGAATTGGTGAACAACAGGGATTGCCCTGGTTTAGGACGGACCATTTGTAAAGAGTATTGGGAACACAAGGAGGGATTGGCTGGTGGTGAAGAATTTTATTACTTTGTCACCAAAATATTGTCTGCCATTAGTACCCCTAGCCGCACCAAATATTGGGAACAGAAAGGAAGTGAATTGATAAGCAACATATTTAGTGTTTCAGATGAGGCTTTTGCTGGTGTTCTACTTCTACACAACAAATTTCATGTTTTGGTGAACCAGATTGAAAGATTGTTGGACAAGAGCATCCCAAAAAGGAAAAAAAGATATTGCAATCCAAAAAGTGGATGTAAAGAGGATTGGAGCAAAGAAGGATTTTTTTGACATCTTTGTTGGGAGATTGAATCACTACAAAAACAACCACAAAGGGGCAAGGTTTTGGAGTAGTCACTAGGAAAAAGATTTTTGGAGGAAGACGGTGTCGTTGACATCAATAGTAATGATGGAAATGACAATGGTGAGGAGGAGTTGGATGACGAGGAATGCTACATTGGCCCATAGATTAGGAATCAATGGAAAACACGGAATATTGGAATACACACAGGTTGAGGGGGTTTGTGGATTRTCTGTACTACTAATTCTCTTTTGCTTGTGCCTGAAAATCTTGGCCCCAGTGGTGCTGAATCCATTGAACACTAAAATAAAAATTCAAACTAATGCTTGTGAGAATGCATAAAAATAGTAGCCAAAATTTATTAAAAAAGAATGGAATCTAATACACAAAAAATGGTGTTGAAACCTAAATGCAYGAATCTTGCTTGACCTGTTGAGAGAACCAAGCAGTAAAATTTGATTGAAATTATCCAAAATATGATTCAAAAACTTGTACCATGGGATTCTAATGTACCAAGAAACATGAACTCAACCACACCAAAACCAGAATTGAAATCAATTGGAACATTACTTGATCTTTCTTACCACAGAATGATAAAAAATTCAAATTGCACTCAGGATATCCACACTTGAGCTGGACAGCAGCAACAACAACCCCAGCAATGTTGTTGTTTCTGACATTTGTGCAGGACATCATCATCATCAACAACAATAGCAACAACAACAACCCCAGCCCCAAGTATTCAACCAAGACCTATCCTTTGAAGAACATGAATGCCTGGAGTATATGCTACACATTCAGTTTTAGAGATGATTCCCCAGCATCTCCATGCAGTTCCAGTATTATTTATGGACTGGAAGAAGATTCTGGTCATCATGTTGATGTTTCCAACACCCATGTTGGAACCAACACCTTCCCTTTCAAGCACAACGCCTGGAGTATATGCTACATACTACTAAGTTCAAAAACATTGACCACCAGCCTTAGCTCCATGTGCTAGTAATCCCAGTTCCTTTGCAAAGGAAGAAGATTCCAGTCACAATGTTGTTGTTTCTAACATTTGTKCACAGCAACAACAACAACTCCAGCCCCCAGCATTCAACCAAGACCTTTCCTTTGAAGAACACAATGCCTGGAGTATATGGTACTTACTTAGTAGTTTCAGAAGATTCACCACCAGCTCACTGCATGCACCAGTTCCAGTATTTTACACACCAGAAGCAGTGTTTTCTGGTCACACCAACATTGTTGTTTCTGACGTTTTTGTTGGACAGCAACAGCCCCACCCCCTTTCAAGCAATACCAACCAATATGATGATGCTGATGAGATCAGTAGCATCCTTCCTGCTACCCCTGTTCTTATGGACTGGAAGCACCAGTGTCTTTTGGTCAAGATGATGTTGTTGCTTCTGACATTTGTGTTGRACATCAACAACATCAACAGCACTCAGTATTCAACCCTGTATCTAGATCTTATCAATCTATCCTCAGTTCTCTTCTTTAAGAAGATTCTTCAAGAAGAGGCTCCACACAGCTGCTCTTTTGTTTGTGGGACCAGCTAGTAGTTGAATAATTTTTTCAGTTTTCTTTTTCTTTTTGATTTTTTTATTGACCACTCAAACAGTTGTGTCCTTGCCCACTTGGAGGTGACTTCCCCTAATTGGCTTGGCAGTATGCTTGGCACTTGTTTCCTTGATCACTGCAGTGTGACTTGCCTTTTGGCTTGGCAGTGCACTTTGAAATGATAATGGCATGGCTCTCATCCATTCAAACTGCAAACCACCTCATTTTATGTCCTCTGAATTCAGTCCCAGGCCTTAATTGGCTTGTCAGTATGCACAGAACCTGGTTGGGCCTCCAAAAAAGCTCATTGGAGGGAGGCATCGCCCCTTGGAGCAGGTGGGAGCATTCTTCTCCGTAGTCAGGTGAAGATAGTTCTGGCCAACAAAGTGCCTCTTCTAGTTCATGAGGTTAAATGTAAGATCAAGATTTTTTTCCCTAGTTAAGACTCCTCCTATTCTGTCAGTAATGAGAACTARATGTCTGTTAAAACACCATTATTACTTACTATTTATTAAAATAGAATTTCAAACACATGAACTTACACTTGTTGAGTTCTGAAAATTATCATGTAGTAGAATTCCAACTGATTCCAAAGTAGTATATGTAGCTGATTGACACCTTCTGGCATCCAACAAACCACCATGGTGTCACTTGAAGGGGGGGGGAAATCCACCTCCTTGGCCTCCATTGAAGCAATTCAACCAAGCTGATACTGTTGAGACCAGTATCACACCTCCCCAGTCCCCAGCTGTTGC